CATAGCTAGTAGCTAGATGGCTTCTTCTCTCTCTTTGATTCTCAATACTATGTTCTCCTCGATGTTCTTGGAGATCTATTCGATGTAATACTCTTTTGTGGTGTGTTTGCCGAGATCCGATGAATTGTGGATTTATGATCAGCTTATCTATGAATATTATTTGAATATCCTCTGAATTCTTATATGCATGATTTGGTATCTTTGTAATTCTCTTCGAACTATCGGTTTTGTTTGGCCAACTAGATTGGTTTTTCTTGCAATGGGAGAAGTGCTTAGCTTTGGGTTCAATCTTGTGATGTCCTTTCTCAGTGACAATAGGGGTAGCAAGGCACGTATTGTATTGTTGCCATCGAGAATAAAAAGATGGGGTTTTCATCATATTTCTTGAGTTAATTCCTCTACATCATGTCATCTTGCTTAATTTGTTACTTCGTTCTTTATAAACTTAATACTCTAGATGCATGCTGGATAGCGGTCGATGTGTGGAGTAATAGTAGTAGATGCAGAATCGTTTCAGTCTACTTGACATGGACATGATGCCTATATTCATGATCATTGCCTTAGATATTGTCATAACTTTGCGCTTTTCTATCAATTGCTCGGCAGTAATTTGTTCACCCACCGTATTATTTTCTATCTTGAGAGAAGCCTCTAGTGAAACATATGGCCCCCGGGTCTATCTTTCATCATATAAGTTTCCGATCTACAATTTTAGTTTCCGATTTACTATTTTTGCAATCTTTTACTTTCCGATCTATAAACCAAAAATATTTACTTTGTCATTTATCTATCTCTATCAGATCTCACTTTTGCAAGTAATCGTGAAGGGATTGATAACCCCTTTATCGCGTTGGGTGCAAGTTGTCGTTTGTTTATGCAGGTATTCGGTGACTTGTGCGTTGTCTCCTACTGGATTGATACCTTGGTTCTCAAACTAAGGGAAATACTTATCTCTACTTTGCTGCATCACCCTTTCCTCTTCAAGGGAAAAACCAACGCAAGCTATGCCACTTAACATTACAACATATAACCACCCCATACATAAACTCATTATCATGACAAAGGCTATACCACATCACACACAACGTGCAAAACCAAGTTTGATGCCCTCTAATCAGTTTGGCAAATTTTAATTACGTGGCTTCTAGGGTTTCCGGTTAACACTAGCTACGTACGTCCAACATCAAGGCGATAATTCTTGTTGCTAGATTAACTTTTGGGGTGTGTGAGGGAAGAGACTTAATTAAAAATCTTTAGCCCCACACTAAACTTTGTCAATATGCGTGAGCCCCTATAAGATCGACCATCTTCATCACCCTCTCGCATTCGAGAGTTCACTATTCTTGACTATGATGAAGCCCATAGAATTGTTAGCAGATCGTCGACAGCCAGAGACGATCGATGGTCAGAACTTGGTACAAAGCTACATCACGCCGTCAATGAACTGAACCGAAACAGCACTTGAGGGAAGCATAGCAAGAACATCAAACCCTCACATCCACATGTAATCTAAATCGAAACCTGCATCTACTCATGAAACCGCTCATCATTCCACTGTTCGAAAATGTAGTAGAAAACAAAAAATCGCCCTACAATCAACCAGGAACACAATGAAGATGCACTAATAGTTTGGATTGGATCGTTACCAACTCCGAGTTGCAGCGGAAGAATACCAATCGGTGTAGATCGTACTTGAAGTCCCTCGAACCATCGATGAACAATCCCTCAAACGTAAGACCGAAATCACGGTCTCTCCACAGATTGCAAGTGTACGGTCTTCACAATCCGGCAGCGTTTCACTGTCCAGAGCTAATCATCGCCAAAGAATTAGAGAGAGGAGATTAAAACCACACTAGGCTTCTAATTATGAGGATTAGAGGATCTAGACCTATCTATAATTAGATCAACTAGGATCAACTACAAGTAGAACTAGAGAATTAGAGGAGACTCCAAAACTTGTGTGTTCAAAATTGCTAAAACCTCTAGTATATATATGTTCGGAGGAGGTGGAGGGGCACCAAGAAAGGGGGGAGTCCCCCCCCCCTCCTTGGCCGGCCAAGAGGAGGGGGATTTCCCCTTCATTTCCGCATACCCCTTCCTTACCCAAGTGGGAAGGGGGTGCCGCCTCCTATTGGGCCCAAGTGGCCCAAATAGCTTTCCACCACTTGGCCTTTTAACGCCCGTTGATATTTAAATAAATATAAAAAACCTCCTAAACATATTTACAACCTTTTAATATTAATTTAACATCACGGAAACTATTTCTACCTATACATAATTTATCGATATTACCCGTAAACCTCAAAACCCTTTCAGTGACCACGAAACGCTTCCGGGTTCCTCTCGAAACTATTTTGAATATTAATGAAACTGTTTCATAAATATTTTCTCATCACTTCTGTCCTACTAACACTCAGTAGATCATGATTACCTTAAACTTGTGATCCTGTAGGTTCGGTAAAATATAGACATGAACAAAACCCTTTTTGTTCAATGATCCATAATGGAACCGTGGACGTCTATATCGACCCATATGAGTACACGGATGACATTCGAGTGAACTTTTGATTATCATGTGCTATTTCCTTTGCTTCGCGATATTTTGACATATTGATCCCTATGGGCACGGGAGGAAGATGAGGAGCGCCAGGAGCATGAAGCGGAGGAGCACGGGCCACACAGCAGAGCCGTCGGCAGAGAAGGCGGCACAGGCGGTGTGGCAACAGGCTTTCCCGTGGGCTGCGCCGCCGCAGGACTTCGTTGCTCTCACCATCTCTGAGGACGATGGCCACGCCTACGGCTACGTGCTACATGGCTGGGAGGGGCTTTTTTTAGTTTTCAAATTTATGTTTAATTGTGTGCATGTTTTAAACTTATTATTTTTAAGTCCGCGCAGACAATGGGTAGACCGTTGTTAGGTGTGTCGGCCAATCCAAACCAAAAAGTGGACACGCCCGTCCGCTCGGTCGACCCAAACGAATATAAAACGGACAAAACCCACGTCCTTGCGTTGGAGTTGCCCTTACACTTAATAATCGATTTAAGGGGGTTACATATTTACATTTGGTACACTTATTTCATAAAGGAAAGAGATAAGGCCTCTGCAGCAAGGCCAAGCAACGGTCAAATATATTTGAAACACGCCCAGAACCCGCTCCTCGCCTCCCCTTCCCGTTAGTTAGAATAGACCCCTAGAAACTTCTCATCTCAAAAACCAAAAAAAAGAGCAGATTTAGATAGAAACCCATAGCCACCCTGAAGCCCGAACCGGAGGAATCTACCCAGACCTAGGGGTCAGGTAGGGCCGTACCTTAGGAAGTAGCCGTTGCGAGGTTCGAATCGACTGGAATCGGGGGGAAGAGCAGAGCAAATCGTGAGAAATTTTGCAGGTTTTGGGGGGGTTTGTGTTCTTGCCCTTTCCCGAGCAATTCGTTGATGCGTTTCTCTCGTTTATGGCCTCTCAGATCTGCGGAAGGGTAGGGATTGGCGTGCAGGACTCGGAGCGGGAGTAATCTGAGGTGAGTAGTTTGAAATCTGGGTAGATTTGGTTGGCTCGCGTCCGCCCAAACGGCGTCCCTGCTGTTTCCTGATCCATTCTTGGGTTCTTTCCAAAAACAAATCTTGGATTCTTTGGTTGCGAATCTTTGGAAGTTCGAAAAATTTCTTGGGTTCTTTTGTTGCGAATCTTTGGAAGTTTTTACAGATTCTGACCAGAAAGAGGCGGAGAATAGACGATTTTTTCTGTTTCGAGGCGATTTCTTGAGGCGGCTGCTACAAATCAACCGGCTGATTTCCTGGAGAAATCAGCCGGGTCGCCAGCCATCCGATCTGTCTTATCTCAGCCCTTGAAAAACAGTCAACGCACACTCGATGTCCTCCTCCCCGCACCGCATCAGCCACCCCTGCTTCGATCGTCGTCTAGGCCGCCGCTGCAAAAGCATCACGGCTGCCGCCGGCAAAGCACTTTGCAACACCGAAGCCGCCGTCAGCCGCTGCATCGCAGTTCCAAGAGCCGCCGGGAGGCTCCATTGGAGCACTAGGAGCCGCCGGCGAGCGCTCCATTGGGGCACCGAGCTGCTGCTCTGCAACTTCGAGCTCGCCGACGAGAGTGCTGCAGCGTCGCAATGGGAGACGCCGGCCAGAGCTCCATTGGAGCACCGAGCGCTGCACTGCAGCTTCGAGAGCGCCGGCCGGTGAGATCCATTGGAGCGGCAAGCGCTGCAGCTTCGACAGACGCCGGCGGCAACACAGCATCGGGAGGCGGAGGCGAGAGCTCCATTGCAGCACCACAGCCGGCGAGCTCCACGGGGTCGCAGCACCGCATGTGCTGCACTGAGAGCACCGGCGAGCTCCATTGGAGCACCGAGCGCTGCACTGCAGCTCGACAGCCCACCGATGAGTGCTGCAACGCAGCACCAAGAGCCGCCGGCGAGCGCTCCATTGCAGCACTACCGCTAACGAGCTACACGGGGTCGCAACGCCGCTTGTGCTGCACTGCATCTCCGCCGCCGTCGCAAGATCCACGAGGACGCAGCTACCTCCGGCGGTGAGCGGCGCCCAACTCTGGCCTCCTGCTTCATGATGTGGCGCCGGCCTCAGGCCCTTTCTCTTACTTGTGACGGTAGAGGAAAGGGGAAAAAGAGAAGGAGTGGGGGAGAAGGTGCGGAGACGAAGGAAGAGATAAGGCTTTGGCTGGTTGCGAACGGTGTGTGGGGTCGGACACGTGACGTGCGCTGCAGGTGGTTTGCGCGACGTGAAAATCATCCGGCTTAAAGAGAACGTTTTCCATTTCTTGATGGGTGCTCTTCGTGAGGTCTCAATCGTTGATGCGTTCTTGCAGGTATCCTTAGAGCCTTAGGGGGGCAAGTACAAGAAATACTAATTAGAGACGAGCAAAAGGTATCTAAATTCTCTCCATTGACTCGTTATTCATGTGTTTTCTGATTGTTTCTTGAGTTCTTGCGTTGTTGCTGATCTGCTACAATCTTCTCGCGGTAGAGATGGCTGAAGTGAGGATTGCCAGCAGGACGGCTGTAGCCGATCGCTCTGGCGGTGGATTCTTCGTCAGGAGGGTGGCGTCTCCCGGAGCCGTGGTGGACAAGGGCGCCGTCAAGCCACTTACTCGTCGAGTCCCGTCACCGTCCAGCAACAAGGAGAACGTGCCACCAGCGTGCTCTGCGTGGACTGCACCCAAGAGGAGGAGCTCCCTGCCTGAGTGGTGCCCAAGGACCCCACTCCGTGATATCACATCAGTCATCAAGGTGATAAACATTTCCTCTTGTGGGTCTGCTTCATGGATCAATGGATCATGACAGTTTTACATTGTATGATCATGTGCATTTTAGCTGTGCCTAGTCTATGGCGTCCAAAGTTACTATTCACAACAGTATGATCTAGCTTATGCTAGTTTTGTACCTTGCTGAGATTCATGCAACATCTGACCTGGTGATGTAGACCGAACCTCGATCCCGAGATCCGAGCTGTTGCTGCGGCCCGACCTTTCACGACACTTCACCTTCAGCTGTAGTAGCTTCTCGCCCGCGCACGTGATGTACGCAAAGTAGAGGGATTGAACCTTACGGTCCAGCACGAGAAAACCAATCTCGACGACGGTACTCGCGCGCAAAACAATTTCCTCAAAGAGAAATCGCACCACAGATATTTTCTAAAGCTTCCTTCAAAACTTAGGATTTTTTAGATAGCTTCCCCAAAACTCGATACGGGTATTTACCCTAAAAACACATCGTGTCTATTTATAAAAATATATCCTCCCTTTACCTGAACATGATCCGGCTATTTATACTAGTATAGCCGACCCACCTAACAATGATTAAACACACGCAAGCTTTTGTATCTATTCCTGACTTCCAAACGGAAACAACTAAAGATAGGAACTAACTCAATATTTTTCCTAAACAAAACTCTAAACTTACACAATATCTTGCCGATCTCTATGGGGTGGGCCCCAGGCAACAGAACACAATGAAAGATATTCACGCACGTCAGGACTCCTCCTGGAAGCTTCACGTGTCTTCTCTTTCCATGGTAGAAAAATAAATAGCTCTCTATTTTTAATCCTCTTGACCGAACCAGACCAATCTGATCTCGTCTTAGTCTTTGTATCATAGTAGGACTCCTTTTCTTTCCATGATGTAATGCACGTCAGTATTGCCTTGCAAAACTCAACACATCCATCGGAGTAATTCGGCCAACATGCAGACTTGCATGCATGCACATCTACAAGCAGTAATATTCCACCAAGCTCTTCCTCACGTGACATCATATTTAGTTGTTGGTTTCTCTCTTTAAACTGAACAAAGCACATCTCTTTTAGTGTCTCATCACCTGTACAAGTTACATTATCTAGCTCCTGCTCATCTTCACAGATCTGTAATATTCTGGGCACATATATATCTGCGATCTTAAGCGGTACAACAGTGTGTGTGGCCATATCACCTGGTGTATCGAATTTGTACATCAATAGTGTAGTTTGTGGGCCGCAATCTCAGTTTACTTTTCATGTGTTCTCTTTCAGCAAGATATTTGTGTATCAAGTTTTACTCCACGTTCAGTCATATATCCATTATAAACTCTCATATTTTGGAACGACACTCCAGTTGCTCTGTAATGTGGTGCTCACACAGTGGATATAATGTTATTTAGGTGATGCAATATTAGATAACTGAACTTTGATGTTTTCCTGTGTCAATTTTTTGTCCATGTTCAGTTATCTACCCATCTTTTGTTTTAAAACCTTTAGAATTATACTCCCTCCGGCCCTTTTTACTCTGCACATTGGATTTGCCGAAAGTCAAACTTTACTAAGTTTGACCAAATTTATATTAAAAATTATTAGCATCTATAATATCTAATAAATATAATATGAAAATATATTCCAAGATGAATCTAATGATATTGGTGTTGTTATGTGAGTGTCTATAATTTTTTATATAAACTTGGTCAAAGTTGGATGAGATTGACTTCGAATAAACCTAATATGCAAAGTAAAAAGGACCGGAGGGAGTACTCCAGTTTGTTATGTAATGTGTTGTTTACACTGGATTTTCTTTTCTTCCCGATTATGCTATGTTATAACCTGGATGCTCTCTTTCAGCAATCTGTTTGTGTGTCAAATTTTAATCCCATGTTCAGTCATTTACCCATCTTTTTTCTAATATTTTGGAATTATAAATTTGCTTCACTGCTTCCCTTGAGTATGCATCGAAAAAGCATGCAACATTTCTCTGAAATAGATAGATGTTCATGCCTTTTATTCCTGCTCATATTTCTGTTTGCTTGAGGGTTGCTATTCTTCTTGTAGACTGTCAACTTTAGCATGGTGAAAATGGAAATGCAGTTTCACCCATTAAGATGATATGTTTCCATGGCAGTCTGGTGCTGTACTAACTAAAATCTCTGCAGGCTGTTGAGAGGAAAAGTCGGCTGCGAGATGCTGCGGCTCGGCAGCAGCTCCAGTGGGATGAAGAAGACTCCTCGGAGCCTGAGGATCCAGCACAAACAGATGAGGGTATTCATGGAAGCACAGCACCAACAAATGAAACCCTGGGTGTTGGCTCGGCTAAAGTTGTTGAAACCACCGCAGCATCAGCAACCTGCTTGGGCGAGGGCGAGAGCACCACGATGGTGAAGGCATCTGATGACTGCTCCTTGCAGTCTCCATCCAGACCAAGTGGAGAAAACGACGTGGAGAAGCAACTAGCCAACTCCATACAAGAGATTGAGAAGATGGTGAGCCGGAACCTGAAGCGAGCTGATCCCAAGGCTGCTCGGCCTTCCAAGACCCCGGCTGTCCAGAGGCGCACCCTGATGTCTATGCGCTGAGCATCACATGTCTGCTACTTTCTTAGCGGCTAGTCCTAACTAACCATGGTGCTCGGTTCTCTGCTTGAGGAGTTGGGTGGTGTTGTGTTCATGGTGGTTCTTTGCTTGAGGATTTGGGTGGTGTGTTGTGCTCATGGTTCTCTGCTTGAGGACTTGGGGTATGGGCGGTGGTAGCTAGCTCTCTGCTTGAGGGCACATGTAGGATTACATCACCAGACTTGATTGTGTTACTGTGTATGTACTTATATAGCATGTCTGCGTTTTGTCATTCAGCTGATCTCCTTGTTTGTTGTTCCACTGTAACTAACAGTAACTAATAAGACGATAGATATGGTGCATCTTCTGTTGTGGAGAAAAATAATATCTTGTTGGTACGTGACATACCTTATAAGATTTTCTGGTTGGGGCGCGAGGTCCTGGCATTCTGGTCTGCAGAATGTGTTGCAGGGCAACAGCGATTTGGTGTTTGGGAACTTTATATTGCTGCCAAGTCTTTATGCAATTGTCAATGCACTTGGAATTGTTATTCGTGGATGTTGTTATCCTCGTTTCAAGAAACCAACAACAAGAGCATGATTTTTTTTAAACGAGGCAAAAGACTTGTCATTTTCATTGATTAAATTGTCCGGTTAATTGACGAAAAACCAGGCTAAAACCGATACAACACAACCCACATGACATGGGCACCACCTACCAACCTGGCCACACGCGCAAGCAACCGAAGGCTCCGACTTTGACGACGAGCAACACAATGGAAATATGCAGGACTTGCGCCGACCATGCCCTCCGCAAACGATCACTAAACGCCTGTCATCGTCACCACGTGGACTCGCTCCAACGCGGCTCCGACTTCAAAGCAACCAAGCAACCACGGAAGAGCACATCGGACATGCTAGGAAGAACCGACTATCGAAGACCACGCCGCGACCCAAGCTCCTCTCAACGCCATCATCGTTGACAAATAGAAATCAGCGCCCCGCCTCAGCAAATCGCGGCGAAGATGCCATCATCCACCAACCTCTCAGTCGTAGCCGACTCTGAGACGATGCCCCCAAGGAGGAGAAAGACGCGTAGACGCCTATTGATAAAAAATACTCCCTCCTCAAAATATTATAAGGCATGCTTAGCTTATTCTTGTCTTCATCGCGTATACTCTAACTATAATTTTCATTTATTGTATGCCTATAAAATTATTGTAAAGGCATATGAAATAAATTTGTTTGCTAGACAAATACGATGATAAAATTTATACTCCCACAGTACAGAAATAAAAGCGTGTTTAGATCACTAAAGTAGTTATCTAAACGCTCTTATATCTTCTACAATAATTTTTTCTGAGTCCACGTGAAGCCACGTCACTAGCTGATTTTCCTGAGTCCACGTGAAGTCACGTCATCCGAATTGCTATAGCCGTTGATACAGTACAGTTCACGAATCTGCAGCCGTCTAATCATGTTTTGATGCAATTTACCAAGACTTGCCACCGCTAAGTGGAAAATAACGATTCATTGTTTCTCTCCAGCTCCCTCTATTCTTCAATCTCACTGCCCCGCTCAAGTTTCCGTAAATGGGCTAGACCTGTCGCGGCTGAGCTGGCTCCCGAAGCCAACATATGTTATGTGGGCTGTAGGTTGTAGCCCATGCGTGCTAGGTTCCCACGTACGGTCATCTTCCTCACGCTGGGGAGCTCCTAACTCCTGGCGCCCGAAGGCGATGGGACTGGGCCGGCCCAGCAAAACAATTCAGTGCATAGAGGTTGTTTGCGCGAAAAGGCCAACCAACTGGACTACCACGCTGTACTGACCAAATCCAGGGCCAATACATAATGTATATTTGTACCCGCGCAATTTACTACACATGTAAACGTTTAATGTAGCGCTATCAATTTTTAATTATTTGAAAACATTTAGGAAAAAGTTCATTGACTTTCAATAAAAATTATATTTAAAAAAATCATTGATTTTTAAAAAAGTTCATCGGTTTTGAAAAGAGTTCATTGATTTTAAAAATGTGTTAAACGATTTTGAAAAGAGTTCATCGGTTTTGAAAAGAGTTCATTGATTTTAAAAATGTGTTCAACAATTTTGAAAAGAGTTCATCGATTTTTAAAAAGAGTTCATCAATTTGGAAAAATGTTCATCGGTTTTGAAAAAAGATTTCATCGACTTTGAAAAGAGTTCGTTGGTTTTGAAAAGAGTTCGTCGATTTTGAAAAAAAGTTCACCAATTTTGCAAAAAGAGTTCATCGATTTTGAGAAAGAGTTCATCAATTTTGGAAGAAAAAAAGTTCATCGGTATTGAAAAAGAGTTCATCAACTTTGAAAAGAGTTCATCGATTTTGCAAAAGAGTTCGTCAATTTTGAAAAGAGTTCATCGATTTTGAAAAAGAGTTTATCTATTCGGAAAAGAAGTTCGTCGGTTTTGAGAAGAGTTCATTGATTTTAAAAAAGTGTTCATCGATTTTGAAAAGAGTTCATCGATTTGTAAAAAGAGTTCATCGATTTGAAAAAATGTTCATTGGTTTTGAAAAAAGAGTTCATCGACTTTGAAAAAAGTTCGTCGGTTTTGAAAAGAGTTCATCGATTTTGAAAAAAGGTTCACCGATTTTGCAAAAAGAGTTCATCGATTTTGGAAAAAAAATCATAGGTATTGAAAAAGAGTTCATCAACTTTGAAAAGAGTTCGTTGATTTTGAAAAGAGTTCATCGATTTTGCAAAAGAGTTCGTCGATTTTGAAAAGAGTCCATCGATTTTGAAAAGAGTCCATCAATTTTGAAAAAGCGTTTATCGATTCGGAAAAATAGTTCAGCGGTTTTGAAAAAGAGTTCATCGGGTTTGAAAAGAGTTCAGTGATTTTGAAAAAAGTTCAGCGATTTGGAAATAAGTTTTCGATTTTGAAAAAGTGTTTGTTGATTTTAAAAAAAATCATAGAATTTAAAAAATAGTTTATCGATTTTGATAAAAAAAAGTTCATTAAATTCAAAAAGGTTCATTGAATTTGAAAAAAAATCACACATTTATGAAGGAAAGAAAAAGGAATAAGGAAAGAAAAAAGAAAAAAGAACATGAAAAAGAAGAAGAAGAAAATCTCGCGACCCGGAGAAACAAGAAAAGAAGAAAAAGAGGTTGACAAACACCAAGTGGAGCATTTCCTGGTGGTAACAGCGCTGCTATCTCTAACGACAGATTCCAAGTTTGAACCATCGCACTCGCCCCCTTTTTGATCGATGCAGTTTTAACATAAAGAGGATTAAATGGGCCGGCCCAGCGCATCGCTAGGGGTATGCGCCCGTTTGCGTGCAGCGAAGAAACAGGCGCAACGGGCGCCGTTTAGGATTTGCCCTCACGCTGCGCCCGACTCTCATCCTCATCCTTATCTCTTCCGCCGCCACAACCGTATCTCTCATATGCCACAAATTATAGCTTCGAAACTGCAACATTGATCGCCCACATTACTATCCCTCCGTTACCCTGAAACTGAAGAAGAATCGCTAGATATAACTGAGCGGACACGGCCTTTGCGTTTCAGTGATGCCATCCTCCCGCAAGACCGTCGATCTGCCTGCCTCTGTCGCCACCACCATGGTTCTCGGGTCGCAGGTCGGGCCGCGGTTTAGCTGCCGAGCAGCTAGATCTTCGAGGAAGACATAGCCAAGTCAATCTGTGCGGGTCGTTGCCTCCTCTCCCTCGCCCCAAATTTTTCTGAGTGATGGGAAATTGGCTAGCTGCTGGCCCGTCGTTCCATTACCAGCCACCCGCTGCTACTCTCCTCTGAACCTCCTCCGCCATGCTTGCCAGTACGTCTCGCCTCTTGATGTTTCTATAATTGTTGGGACGCTGGCTTGGCAGCCATTCCTTGGCCAACCATCTATATCATCGAGCAAGGAACAACTGTTGCATCCTTTGTGTGTCGTTGCTCTGCTCCGAAGCCGCCCGGGGCAGCAAGAAGCTGACTAAATCAGCAAAGGTGATTTCCATAGAGAGTTATGTCCACCTTCGGGATGGTCACATCAGCTTATCAAGTGAGCCGCCGGAGCGCTCTGACATTCAACTGTGAGATGATGAATATCACTCTTGACATGCTTATGTGTGGCCTGCTTCTATTTTTGCAGTTACATGCTTATCCCACTACTCACACCGCAGTCTGCACCATCTGATGCTACAACGTCACACGCCTCCTATGTATGTAATGATTTTTTTTCACCATGATGAGGATGACTTTTCATACATTGTTGGGGATCAAGACAAATTGTAACATTGGGCCAAATTTTACAAGTATTCGAACCACTTTTTATCTGGATGCTTCAGAGTTATTTTCTTTGTATTAGAGACTAGCGCAAATGAGAATCATTTTGCGCGAGTGGCAATCTGCCAGTCAGTTAGCAAATATATTTTTTCATATTCTTTCCATGTTACTAATCAATCTATTTCAACATGTAATTCTATAAAGGTATATTCACATTCCTTTCCGCAGCAATGCGTGGAGTGTCACCTAGTTTCTACAGAGAGTACATGTTAAATCCATGTACTTTGGTATATATTGATAGTCAAAGTTGTGTATCAAAGACCATGCAAAGTCAACCGTGTCTTTTGTTTTTTTTTGGGGGGGGGGGAGGGGGGGCTAAGACATCTTCACGCCATTGAAGCAATATGCTCCAGAAACTGCCGACATAGACAACACGATTGCAAGATAGACGCGACGAGGCTAGTGGCTCCATAGTGCTCCAATGGGACATGCCTCACAACAACTCTATCAAAGTCGCTATCTTGACTCGATCACTATAATAACTATCAGTATGATGATTTTGGATCAAAATGACTCTCTAGCAGAGTCATCATATGGTCCCGGGTCATCAGAACTTAACGGCGTGTCAGTTTGGAGCGCGCTCAATCCATCAACCGCTCGTGTGGAAGGGAAGTTCACTTTCCTTCTTATCTTTTCGCGCGGCCCGTCTCCTCTCTCTGCCAATGGAGTGGACGACCAGACAGCCATGGCATCAGGAAGCGTGCAACTGCCTAGGGCTATTCCCGTCATGTTTTCCATCATAGTTTTTCAGCGCCCACCACATCTTCCCGTTGCTTGCGTCAATAAAGAGGTCTTTGACATGACCGAATAACTCAGAACCTCCACTTCCAACATCGCTGCCCGTAGCACATTCTTCCTCCCTGTCGCCATGCCGCTTCCCCTGCGGTCAGATTGGGTGCCACCCTCGAAGGGGAGGGAGCAAATGGTGGACAAAAAGCAAGCGGTGGAGGAGGATCGCTACTATGTTGTGGAGGATTTGATACACTTTCCTTGGGATGTCCGGTTCGCATAATGACATCAATGTGCTGCAACAGTCCCATTGCTTGCAAGGTTGTGTGCAAGAGAAGCTCCTTCATGCAACTATACCAGCAATGACCATGACTACAAAATGGGCTATCATCTGTGCTGGTATCTATCTTTTCTGGGCGACCTTCTCGAGACCATCTCTAAGCCAACGGGTGATAAAAGATCTCACTTTGTCCAAAGACAATAAGGTAGAAAGGGTGTCGAAACGGCATTTGGAGGGCTCCGAGCCCATTTTGCGGCTGTTCGAGGACCTGCAAAACACAATGAGATGCAGAGATATTGTGAAAGGTGATGACAACTTGTAGATTGAGCGGCGGCGGCAGAGGGGAGCGAGAGCAAGAGGGGGTGAGGAGCGGTCACTGTTTGCTTTTTGGGCATCTTCTGACTGGCTTGGTTGGTCCGGCCGTTACTGCTTAGGCACTACTCACGTGACCTATTTGCCACATCAAAACGTGCTCAATTCTTTGCTCAGTGTTTTTTGTCACTGTTAGATTTTCAGTTCGGTGCAAAATGTCATGAATCGTTATATGATGATTTTTCGCTAGTCGTGACACAATAGTGGTGGTTTTGTACATTTAACTCCACCTGGACTGAGGCAGTACATACGTGGCAACTTTCCGTCACCGACACACTGCTCTTGCTCTGGGAAGGCCTCGTAGCTGATGATGCCGGCTCAACTCAACTTGTAGAAAACTCGCCATCTTAATCACGACGAATCAAGAGGGTTCATCTACACAACACAAATCAAACTGATTCCAAACAGTTCATGTACAGAGCACGGCATATACAGATGACAGCACTTTCTAAAAACCATCGGATCGGACGGCTAAAGATGAAACAGTAATTACAAGTGAACAATCCTCCTCGCCCCCATAAGCATGCCTTGAAGGCCAACACTTGAAAGATCAAGTGCAACGACCATGTCCATTGGTCTTCTGGCCGCAAGCTGAATCTTGTGACCAACTACACAACTTCCCCAGCTAAAGCGACCTGCCAGCCAAATTCAACAAAGTCCCATGCTGCACACATCCTTCTTATGTGCAGGGCGTCCATGAGATAATGCCGCAATCGATCAAGGATATTGCTTGTGCTTGGAGGAAGCTCCTGATGTGCTCAGGCCCTACTCTGGATCTCTGACGGTCTCATGCTTTTGTGATACCATGAGCAACGACGAGAACTGAAGACAATAGTGACTAGTTATATTTTTGCCACCTGACTCCAATTTTGTTTGTAAATCTGACAAAATTCCAATTCTAACGCCATTCCGCATATACATAGATCCAGTATGGCCTTTCACGTGCGGAATCAGAATATAGATATAGCAGTCTTAACCAGAATGTAAGCAAACTAACCTCGGTACCACAAATTATGTCATGACTGAGTGGATGGGCTGCACAGGAAAGCACCCTTTCGGATAAGGGAATAAACTTGTTTTCTGCAGGTTGATTTTCCTCAGAGCCTTTTGTTTCCTCACTGAAACATGGAAAGCCAGGTGAGGAAACAAGAATGAACATTGTGCATAAAATGAGCTGAATCCAAAGTTATTTCCAAGGAAACTTCTTTTTTATTTTTGTTCAATGGATCCAAGAAAAAAGTGACGAATTGCTGAAATTGTGGAACTTCTCCACATACGTCCCAGCAAATAACTACACCCTCCGTTTCTAAACATAAGACGTCCCGGTGGTTCAATTTAAACTGCCAAAACGTCTTATATTTAGGAATGGAGGTGGTAGAAGATTAGATTGCCAAGTAAGTTGACTCCATCAAAACCAAAACAAACTGGAAATGAAAGACCAGCATACTTGTAGTCCACATGGCATGCAGAGCTTGTATCTGGATGAAAATCCAGTGCATATATTCCATTATTGGAGGAAGATCCGACTGCATAAATCTGCACAATGTAAACATATGACATGCATCATATGCCTTGATGCGTTTCACTATGTTTTATGTCAAGAAATGGAAATAACAAACATTATGGCTAGCATGGTAAGCAGGACTACATCTGTTAGCATTCATGAAATTTTATTTTCTTCGATTCGATGTCTTACGGGGTCCAATTATAAGAAAAGTGTTGCATGTATTAAGATTTGAGTATGCCCTATAATTTTCTTACTGAAGATGTCGACAGCCAGGTGGCTTTCCGCTTATGCAACACAGAGTCCACACCCTCCCTAATATAACAAACAGCAGAGAACCATAAAACAATTTGGTCATATTTCCTTGGGAGAAAAATTTTGGTCACATTTGTAAAGCTTACTAAGACATATTCGTATGGAGTCCAAGTTTGAAACAATGCATAGATCAACACTTACAACCAAGCAGGAGGAGGGCAGTGCAGATGACTAACACTGAAAGTGTTGACATTCAGGACTCCAGACCTAACATGGGATGCAGATGGATGAGAAATCACTAGTAAGCACACATCACTAAATTTATACTAGAAATGAAAGAATGAAGAGTAAAAAGCTCTAATAAGAACAAAGTAACCATTGATTTGTATGTGACTATATAATGACAATAAGTGAAAGGTCTGAGATACTTACCACCCATCATCAAGATGGAAGGCTAACTGATATGAGCAACTAGGGTTAAAGTCTATCGACAGAATTTCACCTGAAACAATGTTTGATTGTTCCTGAAAATATTTAGCACGGTGAAAATAATGTTAAACTGAGAAATATGTTTTATAGCCTTAATATTGTTAGCATTATAAGTTATCTAACAATACTCCAAATTAACTATTGTTATTCCTTTGTCTCAAAGCTTCAGAGGGGTACCATTTCTAAATCTGTCTCTCCCTCCGCCGCCCCCAGCCCCCCCTTCCTCGAGCCTCCCTCCCCTCGCCGCCGCCGCCTCGACGTACTGGCGGGCAAAGCCCGGCCAGTGCTGGCGGCGGCAGGGCCCTCTCCTTTCCCCTCTCAGTCCAGCAGGCGCGAGCCTCCGGGTCGGGCAGCAACGCGGCGTTCGCTCGGGGCGGGGCGGCGCGGCTGGCGGCGGCGACGCGAGTTGTGGGCGGCGGCGTGAAGGGGCTGCGGTGGAGGTGGTGCGCGGCGGGCTCCGGCGGCGGCGTTCGGCCAAATCTGGATCCAGCCGGCGAGGGACGCGGATGGCGCGGGCTGCTGGCGCCCGTCCCTACCGTGGCCTCGGCTGGTGGCTGTGGAGGCGCAGCGGCGGTGGCAGGTGGGCGTGCTGGTCGGGATCCAGTCGTCCTGCCGGCTGGACGACGGCGGCAGGGCAGATGGGCTCCCCGATGAGTATTCTTGGCGTTCGGCAGCTGTACTTGGGGCCCTCCTTGCCGGTGGTCGGGTCTGCGTTGGTGGCCTTGCGCGGTGCTGCTTCGGCTGCTGAGGTGGGGCGGCACAGGGGTGCGTCCGGTGGGGAGGCTGGCGGGAGGGATGAGTGGCGCCGACGTGCTCGGGCCCCCGTCACTGGCACAGGGGTGTGCCGGTCCGGATGCGTCCGCTCCCCCACCTCCCCCTTTCCCGGCCGCGTGCTGGCTGTCGCAGCTCCAGCGATGTTCAAGGCAGGATGTATGCTGCGGTTCGTCGGTCGGTGGTGCTCCTTTGGTGCAAAGTTGATCTCTTTGGATGGTCTTGGGGGTGTCTGGATGTTGGGCGGCGGCCCTGGCGGCGAGAGGCGTGGCATTCGGGGGCGGAACCTGCGTCTCAGGTGTGGGCGGGCAGCCATGGTTTCGCGGGGGACGTGGCTGCGAGTGGTTGGCGGAGCAGGGGTGTGTCGGCAGGGTGCGAGCACCAGGGTTCATCACTTGCCCAGTCCTTTTCTGGCCGTCGGTGGCGGCATCCGTGGGCGTCGTATTCTTCTTGAAGGCTCCGTCGCGGTGCTCCCACCCCCTGCGTCGCTCCGGGTGAAAACTTTTTCGAGAAAACGCAGAAGATTTGCGTTACATTTGCTCCGGGTGAAAACTTGATCTGCGGATCGGACGGTGGTGGCTATCCGTGGTCGTACCCTTTTGGGAGGCACCGTCTTGGAGTCCTTGCTTCGTCATGGTCCGTCTCACCCCCTCGGTGGCTCCAAGTGGTTCTTCGTAGCTCATATTTGTTGGCTTGGTTGTGCCCGAGTGGTGTGATGGTGCTCGGCACCTTTGTATCTAGCCTTGGGTGTGTTTGTTGCGTGTCGTGGTGGCAGTGTGTGTTCGGCTCGCTCAGATGTATGTGGTGATGATTGCTTTATAATATAAAGCAGGGGGAAACCCTTTTTTGGTAAGCTTAAGAGGGAAAAATATCTAGCTTCAAAGAGAAAAACAGTTCCAAACCATTATAATCGGGATGGATCGGATAGATGAACTATACCATTTTGTAATATGTCTGAAAACAGAATTTCGGTGCATCATATGGATGAACTAAAAAATTATTAAACATGTTTTGAAACATCGAAAAGAATTGTGCACCTTCCAATTGAGATGCATTATTGTATGTTAGATTAGATGCTGTATAACAATAATTGTGGTTTTCTTTTCTTTTCCTGATATTAGGGTTTAGGGTTTAGGGTTTCTTTTCTGTTTCACAATCAAACTAGTTGGTAGTTCATACAGATGGCTCTGATATAGAATCATGTCAGTAATACTATGTGTATGTGAGGCTTCAATATGGGTCACAAGAATGGAAACGGATACATGAGGTTTCTTTAGCATAAATTCCGTTGCAGTAAGTATTTATCTTTCAAATACCTTCAGCGATGCAATTTTTCCCAACAACCTTGATATCTTCACTGATGACAAAGGTTGAACCTGGATGAAAATTTTGTCAGCCCAGAACCAAGGCAAGGAACAATAGTCATCATGTTGCGAATACAGCTATGACATTGCTGCGTAAAAAGGTTCAAAATGAAGGGCTGTTCTTTCTCTACTACTTTCTCTTTTATAAAATGGTACTAGCACTGTCATAGCCATGGCATGAAATACAAAATAAATTGGAAATTAGATAGATTATCCTTGCAATTGCACTTCATAGTCTAGTGCACTAAACCACTACCTATTTCTAATCTTCCGCAGATCACATTTAACATGATATCTTAACAAGAGTTGTTTCTGTAATTTAGGGTTCTTTAGCATATTGTGAGTTTTAGTAGGTTTTCAGATTGAGTCCCACAGTTGTGATTTATCATTGGAGGTTGGTGGATGACAGGGGCAGTTTCCTCTGAGAATTTGTTCACATTTAGTTTGCTTGGCACCTAGAAACCAATTATAAATTATAATCAGTTTAAGTATATAAAAATGGAATAAACAAAAGCAACTTTGGGGGTATCATTTAAAAATATCATAGTAAAAAGGGTGTATTTACAATCAAATAGAACTAACTAGCTGACTATAGATATGTAGAAACTTGTATGTGCATGCTGAATTGGTACAGCACTACTGAATACATAAAGTTCACAAACAGAAGTTCTCTTTTCTGATTCACAGAACACTGAAATCATCATGCAGAATATCAAGTTGGATGACCTTAAATCACATGAAAAGAAGCAGAACTAGCAGAATGTTTATCAACTGAATGTACCTCATTATGGCTTTGAAAAGCAGCTGATGCCCTCCCTCCACGTGTATCCCAAACATGAATGGTCCCATTTCTAGTTGCACCAAACACTGTCTGAAAAAAAAATTATAAGTCCCCATATATGAATGGATGAACTGTAAACTGTTCAGGGTAACAGAAAATGCAAAATGCATAAAAACAAAAATAGCAAGATTAGCCTCGTGTTTACCACTAAGTTTGGACAAAGCGTATTTGATCGATTATACAGTAGATATACAACATATCAGCAGACATCACATTACATCATATTAGGTGGTATTTACAAAGCAAGACAGAATCTGAAACATAGGTTAGTGTATAAGAGGACAGCATTAACAAAGCTAAACAACTGTTTTTATAAAACATCAGTACTTAACATGAGAATTAGGAAAGGTACATACTATAGAACAACAAATATTTAACATGACAATTGGCATACCCGATTATCCATATTTAGCTTGACACTGGTAAACTGAGATTCTGGGAGTGCTGTAAGCTCAACACAGTGTGTCTTACTTAGCCGCATGTCCCACATGTAGACTGCACCATCAAGTCCAGAAGCAAATAGCCTACAATGGTGAGCCAGTAAGTGGAAATTTTATGCATAATTTCCAGCTAGAGAAATCTCATTAAGAATATTGGTATCTGGTGCATATATACATAGCTTATGCCTCCCAAATACTACCTTTTTCTGGTTTATTAGGCCCACGCATATCCCTAGATCAGCAATTTGACCAACATAATACGAGTTATATATTACAAAAAATATACCATTAGAAACTATTACTTTAGTTTTTCATTTATTATCACAACTTCATTTATTTAGCTTCACAACTGCTAATATTTCTTTCATTTTTCTTCAAGCAAGGGTCAAACCATATTTTCCCCTTTCTATGAAAAGAACAAGAAACATGATATGCAGTCAATTATTTATACAAAGCATCACAATAGTTGCTAAATAGAAATAATTTATGATTGGCCTTATCACAAGTGACATGACAGTGAATAAACACAAAATTGTCACATACCGTGACTTACCGTCTGGAGTAAAAGCTACATCAGTCAAACCCTTCCGGGATTCCGAGCAGAGACCATGAAATTTGGTCTTCCCTTTCTGTAAAACCTAAAATACAATAATTTAAAAATCAGAACAGTCGTGAGGGGCGTTGTGTAATACAATGAGCTACTACAACAAATTTCCTTCTAATGGACTAAGATGTACAGCATCTGGAAGTATATTATCTTGAAATATTATCCAGAAACCTTTTCTTTAGCATTGTGTAATTTTGTTTTTAGTGATGCTGATGGAACCCTGTCTACCTTGTTATATGATGACCAAGGATGAGTGCAGCTTTTTAAAATGGGCGTACCCATTAGCGGATTGGATATTTGTACTGTACCATAAAACTGGGGAAAACCCCCAGGTAATATGCCAATCAACACATGGGTTTGCTCAAAATTCCATGGCCATATGTGGTGTTTGGCAGAAACAAAACGCCAACAGTAACAGCAAATATATTTTACTGGCATGATTATTTTGGAATTGAAGGAGAAAGAAAAGAATACATGATCTTTGAAATTCTGATGTAAGACAACATGAAGAAAATATATTTACAGTATGATTGAGTAACAAGTAAAGCATTTGTCAAGGAACAATGCAAAAGAGGTACTTACTTCAGTCGGAGCAGATGAGACGTACCCAATGTCAAACAGTAAAACTTTGTCAGTTTGGTTAGATGAGCAAACAATCTGCATCAGGCATGCTCAGAGCTCAATAAATAAAATAGATAGAAACCACTTAAGTCATAAGCGCTATATTTAATTTATAAAATAAACATAATTGTCGTCCCTAACTGCCAGTTACACTTATTATTCCTCATTGATATTTAGTGCCAAAGTACTTTCTGAACTCAGATAAAATGAAAAAAGGAAATCCCACATGAAAATCAATGCTGATACAAACCTCGTCTTGATTTCCTGGATTCCATCGGACAGCACATAGAGGCATTGAGTTTGATATATGGAGCACATAGTTTGATGAGTCATCTGGTAAACCTACCAATGAAAAAGTAATAACAGCAAAATTATGACGAGACCTGAGACAGTAAACTAGGAATAAATCATCTTGAGTGTGACTTTTCCTTGAATATTCTAAGAGGATGTTCTGTTTCATAAATATATGGTTGAGAAACACAGTACACTATCATTTTAACTTTTTGGTTAGCTATCTGGATATTTAGAATGGTTTAACAAGGCCAATTTATATCAACATATCCAGCAACAGAAGGTACAGGGTACATCCATGTCATGGAAATCCTTAATCTGGACGTGGCAAACAAGGTCTATTTTCTCAAAGAGGATGATTCAAACGAGAATACCAGGGTCTTAAAATGATACATCATTCTTAGGGGAGTTCCTGAAGCTTATTTCATAGTAAGAACTAACAAATGCCTAATGTACATTAAAGCAAAGTTGCCAAGACAGAAACAAGTACAATGTACGATTCTATGTTCCTGTTGGACCATTCCAATCCTGACCCTGCAGGGTCACAATGATAAACTAATGGCCCTGATCTTATGATCTACACAGTAACGGTCTTTAAGGTGCCATCCTATAATTACTATATGATCCTACCAACACACAGGCGGATCTACTAGGATCATAATACAGAGAATATTATTTGCAAGGCATCTACTTTCAGCATTTTTCTAGCAAACTGAGTCGGTTAAGTTTAACTTACTACATGATGGGCCATACTAGGAGCAGTATAAGGTCTCAAAGTCATGCACTGTTAAACATCCTGAGTTTGTCACTGATGCGAGGTATATTCCCTGCACAATTAAGAACATAAGGAAGGTGCTTAAACATTCATGTATCACAGTCTGCTTCAAAAAAGTAATCAATATGAGTTGGTTATACTTTTTAATCCCGCTCAAATGGTCATTTCATTTTGCTTATTGAACGGACCCTCTGGTACCAGGTAGTTACAGTGTGATAATCTATTATTATAAGTACAAAACGTAAAATACATAACTCCAAATTTTCATCCTACGCATATGCTTTGTGCAAAATACAGAACTAAAACAATATTTCTAGTCAAACATAGAGTAATAGGAAAGAGATATAGATCTACAATTAATTTCATGATAAACAACTGGTACAAAGTAGAACAGCAAAGAACATTCTTGCCACATACTGGACGGAGGGCAGAGTGGAGTGGAAATATGGAAGTATTAGTGGAATCTAAATGGAAGTAACAGTCGTTCCAGACAGAATGTACTGAATGTAATACAAGTGGAGCCGGGGCCGAGAGCCCTTTTCCTCTAAAAAAAAGAATGTACTGAATTCCATACACCTCAGGTAGTGAGGCTAAACTGGGGAAACTATAAATTTGTACGCATTTCAACGGTACCTTTTTATCGAATTCCATTGCCGAAACCCCCTCCCTGCTCAAATTAAATGAAACAAGTTTGTTAGCCTATCTAACAAGGGCAAAGCGAGAAATTGAACTGTATTAGGTGATCGTGACACTAGAGATTTTGCAATGAGATACTCCAAGACAACATAGAAGATAAATGCTGACCTAGCTGAATGGTAACACCCAGCAAATGTTGAAGCATTAATCATGCGATTCACCTAACAGGAGCAGAAGTGGTGAACAGATTAGCCAGATAATACACATTGACTCGGCACTACAAAATACAAACCAGCGTACTTATCAGCATTACATGTGTCGGGCACCGTTCCTCGCCATGCGTGTAGTACTTGTGTTCGAAGGTCCTAATCTTCTCAGCATAAAAAGGAAAGTCCACAACATTAGCCTAATATATAAAAAGAGTAGAAATTGCTTCGCTTAAAAAACAAGAACTTGGAAGAAGCATAGGCACTACTAAAAATTTCTCCGTTTTCTGGTACAAATTTCCAAAGTTAAGACACAACTAGGATACTTGCCAATTTAAAGAGCATAAACTCTATAACACGAAGAGGATTCTGCACAGTTTTAGTGATGATTTATCTGAACTAGTCTCTCAACAATGTTTCCCCAGTGTCCAGGATACTATGATAAGCATCTACTATGAGTGTTGGGAGATCATCAGCACAGATTCCGAAATTCCAGTACATAAAGAAAACAGAAGCTGGCAACATCCTTAGAGCGCCAAGTCCCAAACCATCTCAATGTTCCGAACTAATCCACCACAACTCGCTATGAAAGAAAAAATGTGCTGAAACTTAAAACAGCAGCTGTAAGTCTGTAACGCTCAAAGTTTAAGCTTTTCATCCCATTAACCAACTCCGACATTGCCGTCCCACTAGATTTCCTAAGAATGAAATGAAATTTGGAGAATTCGATTTCCTATTTCCGACCCCCTACGCCGTAATTCCAGTCCGAAACGCGACAACCTGAAACAAAAACATCACTCTTCTCGAAATTTCTACAACCTCTGCAAGGGAATCGAGGAGACGGCGGGATTCCCGATGTCGAAACCTGGCGTCGATGTGGCCGTCCAGCTCCACGGCGATACGGCTCCACCGGTGCCACCTACGGACCAGAAGGGAGGTCAGAACACCAAGG